CTGACCCTGACTTCTTGGTGTCTCAGCATTTATGAGTCAGTCATTTGCTTTGGTCAGCATTTTCAGTCTTATAGTATTAACAGGTTTAAAGACAGAGGGCCAAATTTCTCTCAAATGCATTCTGCACCTACAGACTTGTAAGTGATTTATCCAACCGCCACACTGGCCTGAAAGTGCATTTTGTCTGTCATATGAGGCCGGAGTGTTAACACTGTAATCACGCATTTAATTTTGGGAAATAGGCTTATTTGCTTCCTTGCCAAAAGTTAGGTGAGAAGATTGATAGGAAACGTATGACTGTACAGCAAGCTACAGCCAGCGGGCGGTTAGTTTAGCATAAAGACTGGAAACAGGAGGAAACAGCTAGCCTGGCTCTGTCTGAATGCCACAATTCCCGTCTACCAGCAGCTCTAAAGCGCACTAATAAACAAGTTATATGATGTTTATTTAATCGGTACAGAAACCCAAGATTGAAAGAGACAATTTGTGATTTTATGGATGGTTATGTGTTGGACTGTCTTGGCCTAGTAAAGTGACTTGCGAGTTTTGTGATCACTATAAGCAGAGACTCCAGGAAGTAGAACGATTTATAGCCTTTATGTTCTATGAAAATCCAAAGTATGTTTGAACATAACAACAGTGTCTGAACTGTTCTTTGTTTTTGCAGTGTATAACGTTGAAATAGTGATGTCAGTTAGCTTTGGTTAGAACAGAGCTATGGAATATTAAATCATCCATCTTTGCTCACTAAATCTTGTAAAATCTACAGGTTATGAACTTAACAAAATGTCAAATTATTGGGTATTTTGTCGGTAACAGCCATGAGAGGCTGTAACATGCAGTTTTTTTCTAGCAGCAGGTTAACTTAAAGCCCCTATGGAACTTTCATTTTTTTGTTTATTTTGGGAAATCAGACCGAATTTGACTAAGCAGGCATTAAGATATATATAGACTATACAGACATAGCCAGTCTTCTCGCTGAAGGTCTTGTGCGCTTATGTAGGTCATATAGAGGAATCAGTATTAATTTGAGACTGGTTTAAAGGTCCTTGTAGTATATTTAAGGTTAGCATAATGACAGAAACATATGGTTTTAAACTGGCAAGGGTCAGTTTTAGGAGGTACTGCACTTTCAAAAGGGAGCCATACTGCTTTGCTCAAAAAAACTAGATGACTTCTAGACTAGATACATCAAACTAAAAATATCCTGAACTAAAAAGAATATAAAAATACATCAAGTTTCACTTGGTTCAGAAAAACATCCATCTTTGAACTAGTGATTAATAACCAGTGTCCTAACTTCCTCAAATGAATGTCACTCAATGCTGTTTCTTCCATCAGTTGTCACTTCCTCCTGACGCATTACCTTTGCCTTTATTTGTTCACTGTATATTTTCAGTCCAAACTCTGCTGTGAAATGATGCCAAAAATAGCGCTTGTATCATCTGCTCCTTATATAAACACACAGCAGCTGCCAACTACTATTGTGGATGAGCCCCAGAAATACCCAAAATGTAGCGCAAGCCCTTTAGGCCCCTCAGAATGAGTTCAATATGGTTTTATTTCCAAAATGTATATCTGGGTAAGTTACTTTATTCTTAGGATGACAAAAATATTTGACAGAGAATGTCAGATGATAATCAGAATACAACCAGGAACAAGGAAGTTTCAGTTTCTTTATTTTTTGGTATTGTATTATCTTAATAAAATTGTCATACTATTAAATATTAGATGTGTTAAATACTCCACTTTAGTCCTGGTTAAGTTTGTAAAGTTTTCTGTTGCTGTCAGTCACAGTTTTAAAACTGCACCCACTCTGAAAATAGATGATGCAGCCAATAGGCGCTAGCACAAAATGTAGGGAAACGTCTGGCCAGGAAGATAGGGAAAGTGACAAAATGATATACATTTTGTTATATATTGGTTGCACTTACAGCAGCAGGGGTGGGGCAATTTGCTATCAGAACATAAGAAAAGATGACAGGGAAGCATAATACTTATTACTGACATGCTGAGTGTCTTTTTCTAAAGAAGCATTATTGATTCCCTGCTGACAAAAAAGTATGTGAAAGACACTTCAAAACCCACTGGTGTGAATCACAATGTGAAAGATGAGCCCACTGCTTAGACTGCAAGATGTTTTAGCTGGGAGGTAAGTTGACAACATATTGATCAGAGCAACAGGTTATCTACAGTGCATTTTCATGCGCGCATACACATACACACGCACACACGCACAACACATGCAGACAGGCAAAGTATGTTTCATAAAACCACAATTACAACCACATAAACTGAGCTGGAGTATATCAGTCAGCGCTGTAAATGCAAGGCAGTCAGTGGACGGACCAGGCGGTGGGCTAGCAAATCAATTGATTGTAGCTCACACCCTCATGCACACAAACACACACACACACACTCCAACCACATAAAAGAAAGAAAAAATAAAAACTGAGTTTTTATTGGATGCCCAGAAACGGTCGGTGATCAAACTCCAACAGCCAAAAGAGCCACAGTGATTTAGTGGAGCGAAAATCCATTATGGCTCCATCCAAAGGTAATGACTTCTTCAGGCCTTCCAGCTGATTCTCCAGAACAAGAGTGGGAGGGAATAACGCACACACACACACACACACACACACACCTTGGACAAATCAGGCCTTTGTACTGAACAGCATGAGGTCCTGAAAGAGTCCACAGTGACATCACCTCTCTTTAAGTCTCTTATACCTTCAATCACTCATAGTGACAGTGAAGACAGCAGCATTTCTATTTAAACTGAACTGGTACCACCTGATAGAAAATGAGAGGAGGAACCACGGCAGTGCTAATACTGATGCCTTTTATTTGTTAATCATTACATAGAGGCATAAGGCTAAGCATAATGGCAACAATAAGTTAAACAGGGTAGTGCATTTTCATTCTGCAAAATGCTGCAGTACATACTCCACATAACACTGACTTAAATGTAAAAACTGGAAGAAAAGGCTAAAATTATAAGCAGCAGTATGGCTCAACCTGGTGATTTGCTCAACTTTCAATATGCTTCTTTTCCTGCACTATTACAGTAATTTATAGGTACGATTTGTTACCTTGAACAAGGCTGCTATGCTAAAATTACAAATCTGAGCAGAGACAAATGTATAAGAAATACTTTCCAGTCTCTTGACAGAAAATATCAAGGCACCCTTGAGCAAAGCGGGAAATGTTAACATATTGTATGAAGCAGTGAGTGTTGCTGGAGAACAGTGTGGCGCTCAGTGAGGTAGCCCTGCAATGCATTTTTTTTCTTTAAACGCCCTACAGTGTCCAAGAGGACTTTGGACCTTGCCACCAAGGAGATAAATTACGCTCTTCATCGCTCCTGTTTGGAGAGTACTGAAAATGCATTTGAAGCACCCTTTTGCACAGAGTTGAAATAACTCCCACAGTAACGCTGAGTGCTCTGAGCATTAAAACATGCAAAGCTCTCGATGCTGCCAGCAATATTTATTTGATGGCAAGCGTAAAAATAAGGCAGTGCGAGTTTAATGTGGTTTTTACATGGTCGTTGGTGGATAATATAAATATCAAACTCCTATAGGTGTTTCAGATAAAAATGAAAGTTACTGCATGGTAGATGTATCATTAGCAAGCAGCTGTGGCAGCCATTAAATCTTATCTCTTATATACAAACATAAAGGGTCAAACTGCCTTCATGGAGTCCAGGATGTACTGCATGAGATATCTTATTTGCAACACCTTGCTATTAGTATCTTTTATTTTTTATATATATTTAGAATTTGTACCTTTTTCTGTGTAGTTATTTAGCACAGTTTAAATTCATCTGACTTGACGTGACATTACAAACACGCCTGTAAAGCCTCATTAACAGTAGGACTCATCCTTTATTAGAGCCAGCTTTAGGTCAATGCAATAATTGCCACCCCCTAAATAATTACTGCGGAGAGTTCT